GACATATTGTCGGGAGAAACGAGGCTCTGGGGAAGGACGTCATGCTTAGTAAAGTGGAAGGACAGTGAAAGAGAGGAAGGCCATTTGGAGATGCAGTGACACAGTGACCAACAATGGGTTCCGGCATAGGTATAATTGTGAGGATGGTGTGGGTCTGGGCAATGCTTTGTTCTGTTGTACATTGCATCACTCTGGGTCAGAAGGGATCGATGCCACATCATAGCAACAACAGAGGGCAAGTATAAGCTGTCAGTAAGTCAGTTACTTATAACCTGGGACTGACTGTAGCCTCTTGCAGCGTTTGACAAGATCCTTTCTTTTTGAAATCTTCAGCAGAGGAGATTGCATACTGGCATATTCAGCTTGCTGTCTCTGGGGATATAGTGGTGCTCCTGTACCTTTAGTTAACATTGTCTCTTGAAAATGGCTCAGTAGTAAGGTTTTATTGTGTCTGCTCTTGGCTATGTGTTTTATGAATCTCAGGCCTCTCTAAGCCCAGCCCGAAGAAGGTTACTTTGTAGGTACCAGGTTTTGTTCCTGTCTGCCTTACCAGAGAGCAGTCACATGTGTGGGAGCAAGTCTCCTGCCACTCCCTGGGAGCACAGGGTTTCCTTGAGATTTTTTGTTAGTACTCTATCCTCCTTATCTTACAAGTCCACATCAGCAAATGTTTCAGCTGACAACCAGATCTCAAATAAACCTTAAATGGTTTCTAGATCAAAATACCTGGGGATTGCAGATGGTCAGTCACACCACCACTAATATGAGTGGATTCAGGGATATTAAAATGCACTTTTAAAAATGTGCATTTTAGGATGGATAATCTAAGGTTTAACCGATCACCTAGGGTTGTGACACTCTGGTGATACTGTGAGATAAGTTGGACTAAATGTTGAAATGCAAGATCATTGGTTCGAAACCATCAGCTACTCCGATGGAGAAAAATGAGGCTATATATTTTCATAAAGATCAACAGTTTCAGAAACTCTAAATAGGGTCCCTATTAATTGGAATCAACTTCATGACAGTGGATTTGGGGGTTTGTAGGTTTATAGTGAGATTTAAAGCAGAGATGATGTCTATGATTGCAGTTATAAGAAACATAAGAAACATAGTGGAACCTTTTATTCCTAAAAACTATGGTTTGTGGAATACTCATTAATATGATATATTTATTGACTTAATGCATATATCTTTTATGTAATGTTCAACAGTTTCGACAACTGCATTACCAAGAGCTCACCCAAGACATAGAACACCCTTGCATCTCCAGAAAGACCTCTTGTGGCTCTTCCCAGGCATCATTATTTCCCTTTCCCTAGGCAACCTCTATTCTGATCTCTTTGGACTTCCTTTTGCTTGCTCTAGAACTTAATATAAATGGAATCATGTCATATGTGCTGATTTGTGACTTATTTTCACTGCTCAGTATATTTTTATATACATCCCTGTTGCTGTGTGTATGCTGATTTTTCTTTTTGCTGAGGAGATATTCCATGTGTGTCTATGTATGTTACTATCAGTGTACATTTGTGTTGTTTCCAGATTGGGACTATCATGTGTAAATCCACTATTAAAATTTATACTTAAGTATTTCTGACTGCATGTTTTCATTTCTCTAGGTGTAAATCTAGAATTAGAATTATTAGATCAAGGGAAGATGTGTCTAACTTAAGGAGAAACTGGTATATCCATTTGAGGTAATTAGAGCCATTTGAATGGCGTTGTAGTGGAATCTCATTGTGGTTTTGATTTGTATTGTTGTGATGACTAATTATGTTTAGCACCTTTTTGTATGCTCATTGGCCATTTGCATCTTGCTTTCCAATGTACCTGTCAAGCCATTCTCACGTATCAGTGGAGTCACATACTTTTAATGATTCCATTGTAGGCTTCAAGTACTTTGTCAGATAGATGTATTGAAACTATTTTTTCCCAGTCGGGACTTGCCTCTTCATTCCTTAGTGGCATCGTCTGGTTAGCAGAGGGGTTTTAATTTTCATGAGGTCTCATTTATTCATTTT